GGCAGGGAAGCCACTGTGAGATTCTGTCCACACTAAGGGTTCAGTCTGTGGCTGGTGGACCAGAGGTGGAGGGAGGGGCAGCTCACCTCACTGGAGTCTTTCCCAAGTGTCTATATTAGAAGCCCCAGCCTGGAATTCTTGACATCTCTTATCAAGGAGCACTTGGTCATGAATTTCTTTATCCACAAATACCTGAGGTCTTATTTACAAGCAACTGATTTATTAAACCTCTTCCTATGTGTCTACTAAAACTGTGGAGAAGCATGTAATATACATGAACTGAGAGAGAAGAAAATGAGGTGTGTGTTAGTCAGAGTACTCCAGAAAGGCGGAACCAACAGAATGCATATATACCAAGGAAGTTTAGCCTCATGCAGGCTAGCAAGTTCAAAATCTGCAGGGTATTCTATGCAGGCTAGAAACCCAGAGAAGAGCCCATATACTAGTTCAAGTACAAAGGCCATCTGCTTCAGAATTCCATCCTGCTCAGGTCTTTAACTGATTGGGCCCACCCACATTGTGAAAGGCAATCTGCTTTACTCACTTCACCGATTTTAGTGTAACCTCATGGGCTGGGGATGTGCCTCAAGTGGTAGAGTGCCTGCCTATCAGGCACAAGGCCCTGAGTTCAAACTCCCATTCTGATAGATGATAGATAGATAGATAGATAGATGTAATTTCATTCCTAACAGCCTCATAGAAACATCCAGAATAATACTTGATCAAATATCTGGGCCCTGAGGCCCAGCCAAGTTGATATATAAAATTAACCATCACAGCAGGAGAAGGAAAAGAAAATAGATGAGATTGCCCTGAGCATAGATCCAAAAAGCAGGGTATGACAGAGATCTAGAGGCCCCTTGGTTAAGGCTACCTTCCTGCTTTCATGTCTTACCCTGAGAGGGATTTGCTGGACAACAAGGTGCATGAACCCTTCTCGTTTCTCCAACGTTCATATGTTCGTCGATTGCCAAGCTATTTACTCACTATGTGACAAGCACTGAGGCTTAAAAAACTAATCAAGACTCATTCTTCTATACATTTAAAAAAGACCAAAATGGTAATTTTATATATATATATAACCACAACTGTAAAAAAATTAACTTAGTTCATGCCATCCATTAAGGGTCCAAAAGTCCAAAGCAGGAGACCAGAGACAAAACATAATTTCGGTATATAGGGTTACAGGTGGTAAGCTAGGGCAAGCCAGAGAAGCCAGCACCCACAAAGGTCAACAAAAATGGCCTCACTGTCTGGCCTACCTGCCTAACTGATCCTTTCTCGTCCCCACACTGAGCAAAGCTGCTGTGGACATGCGAATGTCATGGCATACCCCAACCAGACTTCTTGGTGGGACCCTCTTAGCACCCCAATGTGAAAATCTCTCTTCTCCAAAACTGCAGTTTCCCGCCACTTGCCCCTTGGCCACCTGTCCACAGATACTATAATAACTGCTCTTAGATTATAAAGTTTCTGAGCATTTACTCACTTAAGTACCACTGTATCTTCCAGAATGAGGCATTTTATTCTCCCAATTTTTATTTAGGAAGAAACAGTATTATAATAGTATTATTTTTTAATTCAACTATATTCTCATCTCCTGAACCCAGTAGTCAAATGCACAAACTCATGATGTTACGATGACTCCCCAGTGTCTCTCACAGCCTCCAAACTATGCTCGGAATCTCCCACACCTCTGCTGCCACCACCCCACTCTTACTCACCATAATCTCCCCTGGAGACTACTGCAGTGTCTGTTGGAACTGCGCAGTCTGCCCCCAAGGACCTAGTCCTCACACATGATCAGAGTTGTCCTCTTAAAATTTAAGTCAGATCATGTCATCCTCTCTGCAAAATCCTCCAAGAGCTCCATGTCGCTCAGAATAATAATCCAGACCCTTGTTCATCCTTAACCTTTACCCCTGTGTATCTCCAATTTACTCTACCCCACAACAGCAATCTTCTTGCTGTTATATATTACATGCCAACCCTACTTCTGCCTCAGTGCCTTTGCACTAGCTGTACCCTCTGTCTGATTCACTCTTTCCCCCAAATATCCACATGGAAAATTTCTCTACCTCCCTCAAATCCTAATTCAAATATCATCTTCTAATTAAAATTCCAACCTCCCCCACATTCTTTATCTTGATCATCTCTTATTTTTCTGTAGCACATATTACAGAATGTTCTACCATATTTAACAAGCAAAATGATTTATTCCTGTGCTATATTTATTGTTTATTCTCCGTCACTACCTCACTAGAATGTTAACTTCACTGGGGCAGGTATTTTTGTCTATAGCCCAAATCCTTTAAATAGTGTTTGGCATTTCATCGGCATCCAAAAAGTAGTTGTTAAATGAATGAATAGATGGATGAATGGATGAAGGAATGAATGAATGAGTGAATGAATGATGAGAGAGCAACATTCACATCCCCCGAGCAACACTCCTGAGTATGAGGTGTCTTGCTTCTCTGGGCTGAGAACCTGAGGCAGAGGATATGAGGGACTTTCCCCTAAAAAAAACTCAACGAAGCCTTCTTACATTAGTATTCCTTCTGTGGCAATAGGTATCATAGATACATATTTTTCTGTAACGGTTGCCTAGCTACAGACACTGGACAGACTAACACCAATGAATAATTCCATCTTGATTAACATTTGGTTGGAATAAGTTTACATGCCAATGTGTTTCTGAACCACAAAACCCTTCAGGGCACCAACCATTTCCTGGTATTCTCCCCACACACACAAAAAAATGAATTATAACCATTGCCATACTTATAGTAGCCCTGGGAACAAGTAACAAATACCATGGGAGGTGAGGGGAAGAATTTCACAGGAAAAAATTGAAATATTCATCAAGCTAAAAGTTGGCTGAATAAATTAGAATGATTCTATCAAATGAAACACTGGGCAGTAGCTAATGTGATTGTGTAGATCTAATCTTATTGGCCTGACAGTTTGTCTCCAGCAAAGGGGACAAAGTGGGATGTGTAATTCAGACTAATAGATAAAAAATTACAGATGATGCTTCTCTGCTTCCTGCTCCCATAGCCTCCCATACTCCCTCCCTGGTAGCACTCAAAACCATTTATTGTTATTCCTGAGTTAATATTAATGCCTCTGTCAGGCTATAAATTCCATGAGAGCAGGAACCTACCGTTACTCCAGCACCTCAACCGACATCAGATACCTGAATAAAGAAGATTCAACGAAGAGGGGTAGGTAGTTCCTCGATGGAAGAAACTGAACTTCTTCTGGACGTTCTGATTCCATTTCAAATGCTGACAAGTTATCACTTAATTATCAGTTCTAGCCAATGTGGTGGTACATACCAAACCCATAGTTCCAGATACTGAGGGTGACTTGAACCCACAGGTTCAAGACCAGCCTGGGCAACATAGTGAGATCCTGTCTCAAACAACAACAACAAAATGATCTGTTCTAGAACTTTGACTAGGAGTAACATCAAGGCTGTAGGATTTGCTGCTTTCTCATTTGTGAGTGTTTGTCTACCTTCTAATTCATCTTGATCCTCAGTTGGCACAGCCTTCCTCCCTCATTATATTGTCAGTCCTTCAAAACCAGGGACTGTGTTTAATTTTGCTCTTCCAATGATGACGAGGAAAATGCTCTACTCAAAGTGGAGGTCTTTTGAATGATTGGATCATTTGGCAGGTACAATCTCCCAAGAGAATAAATTATGAATGGGGTTATTGTAATTTAATAACAATCACAAACACTCTCCATAGTCAAGCAGTGAGGTTTGAGCTTTACATCAATAATCTCCTTTATTCACACTCTTCAGAGAAGGCATATGCTATCGTTTGGACGTTGACTAGCTCCAAGGCCCATGTATGGAAAGCTTTGTTCCCAGCCTGTGGCATTATGAGGAGGTGGTGAAAACTTTAGGAGGTGAGGTGTAGTGTAGTTAGGTAATCGGGGGTGTGTCCTTTGACATTGCCCCTCCCTTTTCTCTCTTTGCTTCCTGGTAACCACGTGGTAAGCTTTACTATACTCCTGCCATGCCTTTCCACAGGCCCAAAAGCAATCGACCCAATTGCCCATGGACTGTAACCTCTGAACCTGTGAGCCAAAATAAACCTGTTTTCCTTACAAATTGATTCTCAGTTTTTTGGTCACAGTGCTGAGAAACTAACAGCACTAAACCCCACTGTACAGATCAGGCCCCAAAGGTTTCAGCAAGCCTCAGCCACTCGCAACATTCACCCAACTGGTAAGAAATGGAGCCAAGACTGGAGGGTTTTTCCTAACTGCAATGTCCAGCTCTTAATCACCTATGACCACCACCCCTCATTCCTCCAGCAGCTTCTCTTAGGAAACTGCTGATATATGGTATCCATCTTACAGGTGATTTGCTGAAATAGACAGAATCCTGGAAGGACAACTGTTACTGTTACACATCCAAATTCTCATGTTTGTTTAAATAGTGACCATGGTGGCCAAAGGAAAGAGTTTTCTGACTGTTCTGCCTTTGCCTCTGGACAAAAAAAGCAGAGAAGAAAAATCGTCCACCCTGACTAGGGACCTAAGAACAGACCCTTCAAACACATGGGCCAGGAAGCCTCTGGGTCATACTCTCTTCCTCATATTTTTCTCTTTTAACTAAGTCAGCTACACAGAGGAAAGCTGTTGAGCATCTCCTGGACAGCTCCCTTCCCTCACAGAGGAAAACGCATGCACACAAGCAAAGAGAAGGTGTTCACATGGGAAAAGTTTAAAGAATTTAAAAGGACAGTGAGAGCAAGTTTGTCCAAAATGAAGGAGAGATGAATGATGTTTGTTATTTAAAAAAGCTTCTGGTTGATAAATACCGTCTGGTATTTCCTTGAAGGTTTCTTACCCTCACACCACAAGCCCTGGTGGCTGTGGTCCACTATGCAAATACCAATTACCTGAATCAGGCTGCTGGTGACTCACCAACTCCCCTTTAAAGCAACACTGGGTTCAGGGCAGTGACTCTCAGGGAAGAAACCATGGCTCGCAGGCTCTGCTTCACCTCCCGGTTACTGGTCTGCTGGTTGGTGATAACTGTGGCAGAAGGTAAGGGTTTTGTCTTTATTCTACCATGGGTCCACTAATTAATAAGTTGTATGGAAAGCCAGAATTGGCTCCATGATTACACATTCCCATAAATTGGAAATATGTATCTACTTCCATCAGCCTGTGTTGTTAAAGAGGAGACCGGCTTCTTGTCTTAGCACTGTGACTTCAGACATTTATAACTCTCTGAGCCTCAGACACCTCACACATGAAGTGACAATTATAATGACATTTATCACCGGGATTATTGGGGTTGTGAGCACCAAGTGAGCTTCATGAGAAGAACTTCACATGAAACACTCACTGTTATCACTCCGAAGCCAACAGTGTCCCCCACTTTACAGCCCTAGCACCACAGTCATTTGTGCATGAAGGGTGTTTGTCTCTGTTTGTTGCTTTCATTAATCACACCCATGCTGCAGAGGTGAGCACAGGTTTCTTTAGGATTACATGAAATTCATTTCTCCACCATTCCTAGCCCCTCTCCTTTCCCCCACTACCAAATCTCCAGGTGGTCTGAGCCTTCAGATTGGTTTATCTGGGGAAAGGAAAGGACAGGGAAGATAGGAGAGATGGGAAAAGAGATCCTGGGGTCCTGGGTCTAGTGTTTTTTCTGCACTTCATCTTAGTTCCCAAACTAGATGCTGATCATGGAAAAGAGACCCAGAGTCAAGTGATGCCTTTCAGCCCTTCACATTCCTTGGCTTGGGGCAGCTTTGAAGGGACTCAGCCAGGCTGGAGAGAGATAGGGACATCAGTATTGGTTGCACAACACGCAGAGATCCCCTAATCCAACCTTTGCGCACAGTCCGGCCATCAGAGGACAAGGGGGTGTAGATTATAAACACCTGCCCCCAAAACAAGGCCCCAGTCATCACCTGCTGAAAGTGGTATCTAAAAGAGGAATCATAAAATAGATGTAGTCATCTGCCACCTTCTTTCCAGTTTATGGGAATGTGTAACCATGGAGCCAATTTTGTCACATCCTCCTGTCTTTGGGAGTTTTTGTTTTGTTGGTGGTACTGGGGTTTGAACTCAGGGCCTCACACTTACTAAGCAGACAATCTGTCACTTGAGCCATTCTGCCAGCCTGGGAGGTTTTGAAAATATACAGCTCATAAAGTTACAATGAGATAAGAGATTTACTTATCTATTTTTTTAAAAACCTCTAATCCAACTAGTTGGAGGTGGAGATAGGAGGATCGTGGTTCGAGGCCAGCCCAAAGACCCTATCTCAAAGAACAAATAGGGTATGAAGGCACATGTCTGTAACCCAGCTATGTGGGAGACAGAGATAGAATGATCATGGTCAGAGGCCATGAGCAAAAACTGTAAAGTCCTGTCTGCAAAGTCCTAAGTGGCTGTCTGAACTCATTCTCTTCTCTCTCTTCCATGGCAGTAGCTGCTTTCTCTTCATGCTATCACTTCTGTTTATTGCAACTCTGCTCAATTCACAACATTTAAATGCCCTGTAATATCACCTTATAATAGTGGCAAAGACAATATCTTCCTTAAGATGCATTACTTGAAAATTGCAATCTTTCTAGCACCCTTGAACTCTTATAGCAATCTCTACATCACCACAGATGTGTCACGCTCTACTCCTGTTGCAGGTCCAGGCACTTGTAGCACCTTCCCCTTCCTCAGGCACAGGCCCTGTGTCCTGATAATCTCTACATTTGTCACAGCACCCAACATGGTGACCTGCACATGGTGGTTGAAGTGACTTGACTTTTAGCATAGACTTGAGCAAGGCCTATGGGATACTTTCTGGGCTCTAAATTCTTTAACTTTAAAATGAGAGATTTGACCAAGACAGCCATTCTGTGAGTGCACAAAATGAGTTGAGTTGCAGCAAATGTCAGTTAATCACAAGACCTGCTATTTCTTTCTGTCCAACTCTGAAAGCACATGAGAATTTTTCTAAAAACTCCATGTGCCGTGTAAGGGAAGAATTGCACACTTAAACAAGTACTAAGCTTACTTCCTAAAAATCAGTATAATTCATTACACACAAGCTATTGTCTGCCAAAATAACCACAGAGTACAGGTAATTATAAATAAAGATCTTCTCATCATTACTGTTTTTTTAAAGTGCTAGTTGTTGGTATATTATGAATTTCATGTCTAGACTATAATAAACCCACTTAACATTGATATCCAAATTCCAAGCAATAGTTTAGTTTTTTTATTATACTCTGATATAAATTATTATTGCAAATGTTCTGAGACTGGAATCAAATACTAAGTACTGCAAAAAATATACAGAAAGGAACATTCAATGTCTTCCTGGCCATTCAATGAATTCATTAAATACTTACTGAGCAGCCCTAGAAACTAAGAACCATTCTGGGTGCTGGGGACATTGGCAATCACCAACAGGGTCAACAGTCCTTGTCTTCATGGAGGCCCTAGTCTTATAACATCTGAATCATTTAGTCCTGCCCTCAATGCACAGATCTTGTATAAAATGTAACCTGATGGAGTTGGGTGCTGATGGTTCTCACCTGTAATCCTAGCTACTTGGGAGGCTGAGATCTGGAAGGCCAGCCCAGGCAAATAGTTCTCAAGACCTCATCTCCAAAATAACCAGAGCAAAATGGACTAGCTGTGTGGCTCCAGTGGTTGAATGCCTGCTTTTGCAAGCATGAAACCCTGAGTTCAAACCCCAGTCCCACCAAAAAAAAAAAAAAAAATGTAGCCTGATGGGCCTAAGAAAAATGGAGCTCATGCTACTAGAAACTTTCTGTAACACTCACAATCAATAATAACAATAGCTAAGGCAACATTCTGAACAGTTTATATCTTATTTCAGATAATCTCACAACAAGCTGTTGAAATAGGTCATATTATTCTCCCCATTTTACAAATAAGTAAACAGACTCAGAAGCTAAGAAATTTGTCTATAGTCATACAGATACTAAATGCAGATCTCAGGGAGCCTGACTCTGGTGTCTTTGCTTTTAAACATGCTCCTCTGTCTCTCAAAATGTTTTCAATCTGCATTTAAAAGTGTGACCTATTTTTGTCTTATTAAGCTTGCAGAACTCTCATCTTTCACATTCAGAGTCTTTGCTGACATGTCAGTATGTAACATATGGGAGACAGTTGCTTATTAATCATCTCACTGTCCTGAGAGGTGGGAACATGGTGACTTTTACAATTATAGAAAATGAGATTTCTCTCAATCACTGCAATTCTACCTCAGGCATTGGGACTAAGGCTGAGGAGATAGCAGGGTACGAAATGGTCATGTAGCTGTCAGTGGGGCAGGAATGATAATCACGTGAATGGTGAGTATGATGCAAGTGACTCACAGTCTACTGTGGAAGCATCTTTAAGGGGCCTTTACCCAGACTCCAGTTAGGGAAGGCCTCCCCAGGAGGTCAGACTTGGGGTTTGGATTGGAGATCCATGGAAATATGGCAAGAAATGGGGCTCTAGGAATCTGGAACCAAATATTTAGAAGCCCAGGATTATTAAGGACTTTTGTCAAAGTAGCATTTGTAGAGTAGAAGAGGCAGAAGTAGAGTGCAATGGATTAAACAGGTATGTAGTACACAAGTTTCTCTTTAAAGACAGAGAAGTAGGAACCAAAGAGCCTCATGAAAGATCACCTCAGTTTTCTTTCTGAAATATAATGCTGAGTAATCTTCTTAGAAAGCTATAGAGAATTCTTCAAATAAATGAAGAATGATAAGTTTGAGGGAGATTTGAGGAGATATCAAAGATTCTGAAGACAGCACACAGTAGAATGAGGATAAACAAGAGATAAATGAGGATAAACAAGATCAACTCAGCAAACAGTAGAGACTGCAAATAACATCAACTCACTCACATGTGTGAGCTTAACTTTATAAGATGTGACAAGTTCCCAAATCAATCCCTAGGGCTCCCACATTTCAGAAGACTTGGGCTACCAAGTAGTGACCCAATATAATCACCATGTGTTCAGTTTGCTGGAAAAATGTATTTTTATGTGGCCATGCCCACATTTTTGACTAGATGAATGATCAAGCTTTCATCTTGACCTTGAACTCTTGGAAATTTGTAGAGGGGAGCACTGAACACTACTGGACATCCCAGAGCTTGGAAGAAAACTCACCTATGGTGTTCTAACACCCAATTGCCACAGGACTTAGATAGAGAGTAGCTTCCATTTCAAAAAAGAATATAAGATCAAGGGGTGGGTGAGTGGTTATCTTGTTTTTAACAGCTGCACAGCTTACTGAATGCAGAGCTCAAGGCTTACCTAAGCCTGATTTGATAGCAAATTATCAAGAGGGGCTTAATAATAAGGCTAGCTTCTTTCCTAGTGACCTAGATTCTGGGGTAGAAAGTTTTCATGTAACAAAGATTCAAAACTTACCAGAAAGAATGAGATGAGGGATGTGGGATTTAATCATCTTTTGTAGTTATAAGTGTTTTAGTCTAATTTCAATCATAGGATTTCGGTAGCCGGGTAGGTATGAAAGAAAGGGTTGGCATTTTACTCAAGGAACAGACAGCCATTCAAGCTAGCTTTAAAAAGGGCTTGAGGCTGGATGTAGGGGCATAAACTCATAATCCCAGCATTCAGGAAGCTGAGCAGGAGGATCATGATTTCAAGGCCAGCAAGGAGAACACTAAGAATGTCAACCCTAAGAAGGACTGCAGTAGAAAGTTAAGAACCAAGGCTATTCCTCTGATCACCACTCTGTTATCATATGGTCTCTTGTCTCTTTTCTCTGTCAAAGGCCTTCCCCATTTTACTGTTTCTGTGTGTTGACTGGCCTCTCTGCTTCTCAACAATTCAACTGGCCAGTACCTGACATTCCAGCCCCTATCATGCAAATTCCACTGACATTTTCTACTAACTGCATCTCTTCTTTATAATTCTCAAGTGAGGATCAAATTCTCCCCTATAAGCCAATCAATCAGCAGTCCAATCAGTCATAGCCAGAAGGTGTGGGAAAAGGTCATTATATGACCTTTCCAGGGGTTGTGGATAAGACAGAAAATATGGAGGGAACTATGGACACAGTCCTGTGTAAGCATATTCAATGCAGCCAAGAAACCTGAATTCAACTGTCCTAAAAGGAGAATCTAGTTCTTTTAAAATGCATCAGTGCTCCCAACTTCCTGTGGGTAGCTCTTATTTCCACCATCCACACTTGGCCGCCCACTCTAGGCCTGTATTGGTACACCTCCAGGGAACTATAGGAATCACTTTCTACAGGAAAGCTTCCTTTTCTACAGTCATTTCAGCTGGGTGATTTAGCCAAGGGAAGACCTTGACACTTGAGCTTGATCCCAATTTCTTCTTCTTTTTTTTTGGCAGCACTGGGGTTTGAACCAATTTCTTCTCAAAAACTAGTTGTGCCCTGGCCCTCAGCACTCTTTCCCTTATTTTTTTCTAACATTAAATAAGTTCTTCCCAATGAATTTTCTTTATTTACTAATAATTTATACACAATAACATCCTCAAATCTTAAAGGTACAGCTTGATCACATTTTACATGTACATACATATGTATGTATAGGCATGTGGATATGTGTAAGTATGTATATAAAGGTAGGAACATATATGTTACACATGAATGTATGTATTTCATATGTATGTGCGTATATTTACATATATATATCCATTTAATAACCACCCTGATACAAACATAGAACATTTCTAAAGAGTTCGCTGGTTACTTTCTCCACTAAATAATTCCTAAGCTAACACTGACAGCTGAATATTATTGACTTTTTTTTAACCATAGATTAGTTTTGAACTTTGGTCTTTTACGATATGTACCCTTGTGTCTAACTTGTTTTGCTCAACATAACATAACATCAATAGGATTCATTCAAGTTGCTGTAGTTATTAGTAGTTTTCCTATTCCTTGAGGAATACATGTATTTCATTGTATGACTATGCGTGGTTTGTGTATCCATTCTCCTATTGATAAACACTTGGATTGCTTCTAAGTAGAGGCTTCTATGAGCATCTTTGAACTAGTCGGCTTGTATACATATACATTCAGTTCTCTTGGGTCAGTTCCCCAGAGTAGAAATGCTGGATCATAAGGTATGTCTGTTTTTCATTTTGTTGAACCATATAAATACTTTCAAACATGCTTTGAAACTTCCTTATTTCTCCCTTCCCATCTTTCTTTCTCCTTTGTCCCCACTTCCTCTGCTCTGTTACCAGGTCTGTTTCCTAACTTGTATTTTCCTCCCTACAGGACAAGAGATAGTGACTCCTCCTGGAGGCTCAGGAAATAACGTAAACCCCAAAGACTGTCAGATCTTTTCCCTCACTCCTCCACCCACCACCACAGGGAATCCTGCAACAAGGGTCCAGCCTGTCACAAAGGTCCAGCCTGTCACAAAGGTCCAGCCTGTCACAAGGACATGCAAGTATCTCTTTCAGGTCTTTCCACAAGGAAGGCCCAGAGTCTACCCTAGGTTTCCAAGTGGACCTTTCCTCCCTCCAAACTGCAACCACCGTTTTCATTTCCAGCCATTTTACTGGCTGCCCGGAAGCCTCACTCCTGGTAGATATCTCCTGGGAAGGCAGCTGGAGAAAGGAAGCTCATCCGAGGAAAGCAAAGAGAAAAGAGAAACCACTGAAACACGCTGAAGCAGAAGCCAACACCTCTGAAAAGGCAATATGAAGATTTTTGTTCTCTCTTTTCAAACTAAAATTACTGGATTAGAATGTGAAATATCATAAACATAATAGACTAGAAATTACTCTCTTGTCAGCAATGAAGATATTGGATTACACATTATTTCTGTTTACAAAATAGGGCAGTAAATATATCATTGCTCATCCCACAGGATATTAATGCAAATAAAGCTTTAAATGGGTTCTTTCAATAATTCCTATTCATATTCCTATTCAATGTTGAGGAATTAACCCTCTTTCCTAAATTAGAGGAAAAAGTATTTTAAAAAGAGATCATTATGAACCAAATGAAGACATTCATGACACTCTTTTTGCTTTTTTTTTTTTTTTTTTGGCAGTACTGGGGCTTGAACTCAGGGCCTCACGCTCATTAAGCAGTGTTCTACCACTTGAGCTACTCAACAACCCTTGTGACTTTCTTTTTTGTATTCATTGGGAAGCTTACAGAGCAAGGTGCATTTAAAAAGTGAACTGTAAATGAAATTACGAAGGTTAAAGCAAAACAAGTTACAGGGAATCTGACTATAGATAATATTTTATAGTTATAAAAAGAATTATCTAACCCAAATAACTATTTTGAATGTAGTATCCAAATTTATTTTAATATTAACTTTATTATTATTTTTTGTTAGCCAGTATTAGTTGTACAGAGGAGATTCATTGTGACATTTACATGTGTTTACAATGTATCTCAATTAGGTTTTACCCCCTCCATTGTTTTCCCTCATCCTCTCTTCACCCCTTTCTTGGATCAATTTCAACAAGTTTCCTTGATCCATTTTCATATGCATATACAAAGTACATTAACCATATTCATCCTCCTTAACGCAGTTTCCCCTGCTCCTTACACTGGTACCCTCTCCCAGACAGGACCTGTTTTGCCTTCCTGACCTTCCTTTTTTTTAAGTTATATGATTGTTGACAAGGTTTTTGCCTTGGTATTTCACACAGGTATACATCCTATTTTAATCAGATCTACCACCTCTATTACTTACTCTTTATTGCCCTGCTTCCCTATTATTCATCAGCTTTCAATGCATTTCATCATGCCATCTTCATACACAGATATAATTTATTTCAGTATTATTCACTCTCATTATATTTTCCTCTCCTGCCTCTCCTTAGTCCCCCCAGACTTAAAGTTAACTTTTTAAGTAAATGGTGCAATTACTTAATTACTCACTGTTTCTCCTATAATGACCACATAACCATCAACTAAAATAAATATTTTCCTCAAACTTTCAACACAGGCTTGTGCTCAAATGGTTGATTTAAAAATTATCTGGATGTTCCATTAACTCTAGAAATCTGCAAAGTTCACTTAACTATGAGAACCTTGTTTTCTCAGGATGTAATATGGGAAATAAACCCCTATTTGTTTGGCCTTTCTGTAAAATATTGCCAACTATGTGTGCCACTCATCTTGCCTATAATGTAGGCACTTGGGTTTTTGCATGGTGCTCAGTGGCTTACACTATTTCCTTCAAGAACTATGTGCAAAAGATGCTGCTACAAAGAAAGTAAAAGCAAATAACACAAAGACATGAGAACTCTGGGAATGGATGTGTGGGAAAGGGAGAGCTATATAAAGTCATCACACCATGCTCCCTTGCCATATTAAATGATGAAAGGAGAAATAAAGTTATCTTCTTCACTCACTCATACTCATTATAAGAACAGTTAGTTCCTTCAAATTTATAGGCTTAATAAAAAAAAAAACTGTTTGAAATTCTCATCAAGAAACTGTATTTTGAAATAAACCTTATCAGCTCTCTTTTTTAGCTAGGGGCCATTGTTGGGTGAACTTGAAGACAGATAAAGGTCTGGATTTGAATCCTACTTTCCTTTCTAACCCTTGTCCTTTGTTCTGCCATACTCACAGCACACCTGTGTACTTGTGTCCTCATAGTGCCCCTACTGTCCAAACCAACTTGACTTTCATTGAGTTTTCTCTCCCCAAATGTTAGATTTTTTGCAATTAAAAGCTTAACAGTTCTGAAATCTAACTCCTTAGGAGATTCTACTAGGTGATATGTAAATCTCAGGCAAACTATTGTGGTAAAAAATGAAATGGAAAGAAATCAATTTTAGCAGCTCTTGCTGGTAGGAAGTAGTCATGCTCACTGACATTTAACCATAAGGGCAAAAACAGAAGCTGGAAGCTGCTGAAAGGAGCTCACAGCAAGGTAACCACAATAGCGAAAGCAGAGCAACAGAAGTAAAGACTCCTTTGCCCCCCTTTTTTTGGCCTGGTAGAGACAGGCTTGTACCCAAATTAGATATGTAAAAGCTGTCCTCCAATGGCATACAATGACCCCTGTCTTGATGTACTCAAAACTTGCTAATGTATAAAAGTAATAGCTCTACTGTGTTTGGGGCATAGACTTTGTGAGTTATGCTGCTGAGCCATGGCACCGTCAATAAAGTGCTGCTTCCAGACTTCGGTGTCACAACCCCTTTGTTCCTGTCACATTTCTGGTGTGTTGACCAGGAAACTGGGAATTGGAGATGGTGGTCTTCCACCTCCCTTGTTCCCCAGGGACCTGCCAAGGATGCCACAGGACCAGTCACAGCCTCTGGCACCAACGGATAATTTCTCTTGTTGAGGGGGGCCTCTCCCAGTGCAAACACTGTGCACCCCAGTGCAACAATGGAATCTGGGGAGGTCTAGGAACCAGCAACAGATGCTGCCTGTCAGAGTGGTAAGAACCTGGGTTCCATGGTAGTGCCTGCCTCTAAGTGGCAGAAAGGGAGACTGATCACCTCCCAGAGTCAAGTCGTCTGAGTACTTTCGAGTGGATGAAAGGAAACTGCAACTCTTGGGGGACTCTTAAAACAACCCCTGGGTGTAGGGCTGGCATTATATGAGAGTGAGAGCCTGAGACACAGGCCCAGCTGCAAAGAGAGTGTAGAGTCCTAACCCACAGATCTGTGGCGAACTCATGCATTTCAGGGTAAGCCCTAACAGGGCCTCTGGTCTGGGGCTTATACAGACTCACTAAGGCCAAGAGGCGCCTAATCTCCATGAGGGGAGTGGCTGGAGATGGTCTGAAGTGAGTGATATTAATTTGCCTGTCCCTTGGGTATCAGAGGAAAGAATCCCTTATCTTTCCTCAAAAACCCCATCCCATCTGTGTGTATCTTGACATCTGGTATTTGGGTGGAAACTGGGTGGACAAAAGATCCAGTGCACCCCCTTAAAATGCATGTTAAGGAACTTTAAAAGGGAATTTACTGCTGACTTTGGTATAAAAATCACTCCTCAAAAACCACAAAGTTTTTGTGAGATTGACTGGCCCAGTTTTGAGGTAGGATAGCCATCTAAAGGGTCATTTGATCCAGAGATTGTCTGGTCTGTTTATTTGGTGGTCACAGGAAAACCAGGGCACCCAGATCAGTTCCCATGAGTGCAGAGCAACAATCTAAGATTATGGTGACAAGGCTGAAGGACATGGGCACCATACACCCAAAGAAACCCCAAAACAAACCTGTCCTGACAGCTGACCCCAAAGACAGCCCACCATTCTACAGCAGTTGGTGGTGCCAACTGCTCCACCAGCACCCTCACCCTCCTCAATGGAGGACTCTTCACCAGAGAGTCCTCCCAGGGCCACAGCACCTACTCCCAAGATGCCGCCTCAATCTCCAGAGCTGGAGCAAGTTTTTTCTTGCTCCTTTGTTATTACTGAGCCTAACTGGAGCTAACTGGGCTGTGACAGGAGATGCAGAAAGGACACAGGACAGACAGACAGAAAGTTGGGGCCAGGTGTGCTGAGTGCTTGGATGGAGATGCACAGCAGCCTCATTGCTTCTTTTTTCTATTATTCTCTTCATTTACTCTGTTTCTTTTCCCTATCTATATTCTTTAAGGCCTTACTCCTTTACAATTCTTTACAGCCTTGCTTCTAAAGTCTTTCCTTAAGAGCCTTGCTTTTATTTTTTTTTTCAGCTGAACTTTGAACTTTCAAGCTACATTCTTTATGATTTTTTTTTCATTTTTCTTTTATTATTCATATGTGCATACAAGGCTTGGGTCATTTCTCCTCCCTGCCCCCACCCCCTCCCTTACCACCCACTCCGCCCCCTCCCTCTCCCCCCCCCAATACCCAGCAGAAACTATTTTGCCCTTATTTCTAATTTTGTTGTAGAGAGAGTATAAGCAATACTAGGAAGGAACAAGGGTTTTTGCTGGTTGAGATAAGGATAGCTATACAGGGCATTGACTCACATTGATTTCCTGTGCGTGGGTGTTACCTTCTAGGTTAATTCTTTTTGATCTAACCTTTTCTCTAGTACCTGTTCCCCTTTTCCTATTGGCCTCAGTTGCTTTAAGGTATCTGCTTTAGTTTCTCTGCGTTAAGGGCAACAAATGCTAGCTAGGTTTTAGGTGTCTTACCTATCCTCACCCCTTACTTGTGTGCTCTCGCTTAAGAGCCTTGCTTTTAAAGTCTTCTTTCCTGTTCTTTAAAGTCTCTTTCCTTAGATTCGCTCTGTCCCAAGTTTTCTCTTAGCTGTCCTTTAGGATAATCTCTTTTAGAGTCTTAGCCCCAAGACTTGCACTGTCCCATGTTCTCTCTTTAGCTCTCTTAAAGCCTGGTGCTTAGACTTGCATTGATTCATGTTCTCCATAGCTTTTCTTTATCTTAGCTTTTCTAAAGCCTATGTATAAAGTTCTTGGTGCAGACTTGCACGGTCCCATGTTCTCTTTAGCTTTCTTAAAATCTTGGCCCTCAGACTTGCTAGAAAATTCCCTCTAGCAATTCTCCTTCAACAATTCTTTTCCCTTCAGCAATCCTTTTCCCTTCCAAAGCCTTCCACATCAAAAAGCCTCTCTTCAATCCAAAGTCAAAGCCAAAAGCCTGACATCCTCCTTCAGCAAGTCTTTTATACCCAGTGGTAAACAGGGTGAGCAGCAGTTTTCTGGGAGGGACATGACATTGTAACAAGAGGAA